AGTTGCATCAGCTTTTTAATGGTACTCCAGAACTCTCCCAGAGCTATTTTCATCAGTGGATAATTGTTGAATTGTTGTTGTTTTGTGGATATGTAAGGACTGGTACATCCTCGTCTGCTGTCTTGCTGTTTTAGTCCTCTTGCTCAATCTTATTAGAAGTTTATCAGTCTTAACCTTGTCGAAGAACCAACTTTTGGCCTTCTTATTTTTTCTAGTCTTTGTTTTGTAATTTTATTAATTTTGCATTTTAAAATTCTGTTTTCTACTTACTTTGGTTTTAATTTGCTCTTCTTTTTTTAACCATCATAAATTATAAACTTGGATTATTTATTAAGTTTTTCTTTTCTATTCATTTAAAGCTGCAGTATTCACTCTAAGACTGTTTTAGCTGTGTTCTGTACATTTTCACATTCTATTTTCATAATCATTTAATTTAAAATATTAAATTTTTAAATTTTTTTTCTTTGACCCATGGATTATTTGAAAGTGTGTGTTTTAATTTCCAAATATTTAGGAATTATCTGGTTTTTTTTCCTTGTTGTTGATTTCATTGTAGTTATAAAATATATGTGTAAGATTTTAACATTTTGAGATACATTATAGCTGAGTATGTAATATATCCTTGTGAGCATTTTATTTATACCTAAAAGTATGTATTCTTTAATTGGTGAATGTCATTTTATTTGGTTAATTTAATTTGGTCAAGGTGGTTGATGGTGGTGATGAGATTTTTTTATACTATTACTGAATTTTGTTTAATAGTTTTATCAGTTACCGAGAAAAGCCTTTTAAAATATTCAACTATGATTATAGATGTTTATTTTTCTTTAACTCAGTTTTTGCTTCATATATTCATATGTTTTAAAGTTCAAAATTAGGTGCATACTTATTTGTAGTTGCTATATGTGCTTGATGCAGTCAGTGACTCATGTAATTATGAAATGTACCTCTTTACACTCATCTATTTCTGTCTTATATTAATATGACCACTTGTGGAAGGCTGAATAAATGTCTCTCCCCACCTCAAATATGTTAATATCCTAATCCCTTGAGCCTATAAATATGTTACCTTTTATGACAAATACTTTATAGATAGGATTAAGATAAGAATCTTGAGATGGAGAGATTATGCTGGTGTGTTCATATGGGTTCAATGTAATCATGAGGGTCCTTATAAGAGGGAAGCAGTACAGTCGAAGTCAGAAAACAGAGATGTAACAGTAAAAACAGAGGTTGGAATTACATACTTCGAAGGTGGCAGAAGCTTCAGGACATCAGCATTCCTGCCCCTGGCCCCCTCCCCCTTGTTACCCCAGTATAGGGCAGGACCCTCTCTGGGGAAGGACTTAAGACTCACAATCAGAAAGGCAGGGGAAGATTAGAGTCCTGCCTTGAGGCAGATGAAAGGATGGCAGGAGAAGGCCAGAGGCCTTCCCCTTGAGTCCTGACACACTCAACATTATAAGAAAGGACGATAACGAGGGCCATAGGAGTTAAGAGCCAGGAACTGTGGATGAAAACCAATAAATAGATACATCATAATACCACCCCAGGGTTATGGATTTTGGGGAACAAACCTTAGTGGTTAGGTGCTTTTATCATTGTATCATATTAGGGGATTCATTATATCAACAAGAGTCATCACTGGTGGTTCATGTGGTCAACCCTGTTCATGTGGCTGAAGTGGTATTTGCCAAGATTCTCTACTGAATAGTTACTGTTTTCGTTTATCCATACTTTACCCTTTGGAAGTGAGTCTCTTATCACTGACTACCCTCAGAGATAGGAGAGTTAAATTCCACATCTTGAATGGGGAGTATCTACATATATTATTTGGTATCTTCTGTAAAGAATATTTGTCACTTCTTCCCTATTTATTTACTCATTTATTTATTTAAATCAGTATGGATTTATATATTTTTCCCTTTTATGTTACAGTACTTTCATTTATTTTGTTGTTCATATTGCTCCACTAGGAACTTTGCCAGGTTGGTCCCTGTGTCCTGATAAGCTCCTATCTTTTTTTTTTTTTTAACTTAATTATTATTATTATTATTATTAT